CTTTCTTTCTTTCTTTCTTTCTTTCTTTCTTTCTTTCTTTCTTTCTTTCTTTCTTTCTTTCTCTGAAATTAAGGAGAGACCTCACAGGTTTTGTATGCGGCTAATAGTATTTGAGAGGTGTACTTATTGCCTACTTCCATTGTTGTGTATAAATAGATAACCTACCAGAAATAGTCTATAAACTGGAAAAAAATATTTTGTAAAAGAACTTGCTATGTGAATTTTGGCATTTTCTTGATTTAGATAATATATTTAGTGGTACTACGAGGTATTGTGTTATCTAAATGTTTGGTTCTGACTTGTGTAAGTTCTAATAATAAGGAATTCACCCCAAATACATCCGAATCTGTCTTAATGCATCCTCTTCTGTCATGTCCTACAGTAAGATCTCATAGTAAATGAGGATATGGTCCAGTGAGCAAATCTTACAACCTGAGCTTTTCTCTGGAATCTGTAATTACTTTGATTTAAAGAGATTTTGGGACTAGGAGTTAGATAGCAAAAGATTTGAGCAGAAGGATCTCTTGATCAAGGTACTGTCTTCCAGGGTTTAAAGAGTAGACAAAGTGACCAAAAAGTTCTACACATTAGTTTGGATATTGGCACCACTTTTTCTTTTTACCTTTACCTCGTGTTAATTATCTCCATGTCAGTCAACTGCTGTGGTTTCTTCATCCACAAATGATTACACTGTTTTCTTTTCAGTCTGTTTTGCCATGCGTAGTAATTTACTTAGTTGCTTATACTCATCTATAGAGATAATGGTTCTCTTAAACAAGCAACTTGTTTTTTTAAAGAACTTTATATATATATATATGTATATATATATATATATATATATATATATATATATATATATATATATGTATGTATTTGATTTGGTTTTGCTTCTAATCAGAATTGACAGACATCTCTGATTTTCCTGGAGCTTCAGATTTTACAGTGGCCATAAATACTTTTTATTGTCTTTGAAAATTCTGTTGTTATTTACTGATGCATCTGTATTTGATCTAGAAATAATCTGCTTTGAGGGTATTCATGAGTAAATAAAGGGAATTCTGTCTGCCTCCTGGGTATTCATACTTTTGTGTGGGATTCTTTGGGGATTTTAAAAGCCATCTGCTTAAGGGAGTAGAAATTATCACCCAAAATACATCCAAAATGAATCCATTTTAAATGCAGAATATATTTACAAAGATGAGTACAGAGTAAGAAATTGCTGCTTATTTCTTTATTATTCTGTATAATTAACAAACACTCATTAATAAACTATTTGCTGGCATTCTTAGGAAGCATAAGATGCTAATAGCTAAGTGTCATCAGTGACAATGAAATAAGTTAAAGTTCAGTGATCAAAATATTTTGTGACTAAAATTTAATAAGAAAGAGCTTAATGAGATAGAACAGATGTGCAAGTTGGTAATGTCCAAGTGTTCCAAAAGTAAGTTGGCTTTGGCTTCATGAGGTTATTTTGGGGTTGTCTTATTATCTCAGTAATCCATGATTGATTATTTTAAAAATGAATTATGATTTGATTATTTTTATAATAATATAAAATTGTGTTCTGGAAAATTGTTACAAGAAAATGACAGTTTGGTTTAAAAGTTTTAATATGGTGAAATGTATTTCTAGATTTGCTTATTTTTATTTTTCAGATGCTCTGTCTTCATACATCTTAGTGCTATTATAACGTTTTTGTGGGGTTTTTTGGGGGGGTGTCTAGGACATATTATTTTGTATCCTGGGCTGAACTAAAACAAACTCACAAAGCTCTTTTGGCTGGCCTTGAACTAACAATAATAATCCTTTTGCTTCATACCAATTCCTGCATTATAGGCATCTATCACACTGCTCAGCTTGACTGTCTTGATATGACTGCTATTTTTCATGAGCAATATTCAGAGTTCATGTTTTTATATATTTTTAAATTAATTACATTTTATTCACTTTGTATCCCAGCTGTAGCCCCCATCCCCTCCCAATGCCATCCTCCCTCTCTCTTCTTCTCCTATGCCCGTTCCCCAGTCCAGTGAAAGGGGAGGTCCTCCTCCCCTTCCATCTGACCCTAATCTATCAGGTCTCATCAGGACTGTCTTCATTATCTTCCTCTGTGGACTGTTAAGGCTGCTCCCCCCTCAGGTGGAGGTTATCAAAGAGCCAGCCACTGAGTTCATGTCAGAGACAGTCCCTATTTCCATTACTAGGGAACCCTCTTGGACACTGAGCTGCCATGGGCTACATCTGTGCAGAGGTTCTAGGTTATCTCCATGCATGGTCCTTGTTTGGAGTATCAGTTTCAGAAAAAACCCCTGTCCCAGATATTTTAGTTCTGTTGATCTCCTTGTGGAGCTCCTGTCCCCTCCAGGTCTTTCTACCTCCCCCTTCTTTCATAACATTCCCTGCACTCTGCCAAAAGCAGGCAAATGGTGGGATCTAGAAAAGATCATTCTGCGTGAGATATCCCAGAAGCAGAAAGACAGCTATATGGTATATGCTCACTTAGAAGTGGATATTAGACATACAATATAGGATAAACATAACTAAAATCTGTACACCTAAAGAAGCTAATTAAGAAGGAGGCCCCTGGGTAAGATGCTCAAATCTTCATTCAGAAAAACAAACGGGACGGACATCGGAAGAGGGAGAAAACAGGGAATAGGACAGGGGCCTACCACACAGGGCCTCTGAAAGACTACCTAGCAAGGTATCAAAACATATGTTTTATATATTTGAACAAGCAAAATTGAGAGGATTTCCACATTATTTTTTAGCATACAAACCTAATCTTTTCGAAGCCTTGTCATCTTGCTGAACCACCTTTTATTGGTTAATTTGAAAGATACGTATTTATTCTATTGATTTTATTTTCATAGTTGGAATGAATGGCTAAAACTACCTGTGAAATACCCTGACCTGCCCAGAAATGCCCAAGTAGCCTTGACTATATGGGATGTGTATGGACCCGGAAAAGCTGTGCCGGTGGGAGGAACAACTGTGTCTCTCTTTGGGAAATATGGGTAAGCATTCTGCTCACTAGTCCACAGAGGGCTGGCGCTTCCTTTCCTAGAGAAATTGATTAATTTTGCAACATCCATCCATCCATCTATACACACTAGATTGAATTTATAGAAGCCTTTCTTCCATTGCACTTTTATTTCTTTATATTTAAATCTATAATCTAAACTTTTATGAATGGAATGATGTGTCATGAATCAACTTTAGCAACAGCAAAAGCTCAAGTCTTATACATCTGTCTCAATTCTTTTACATAAGCCATCTTCTCTGACAATTTTAAACATTCTGAACCTGAGAACAGCAGTATAGTAACACAGTGGAGTATGTGAGGGAGGGAGAAAGGTTGTCAAGATAATTACATAGCTGCAGAAGCTGTTTCTTTCTTTAGTATCTACTCAGTTTCTTCACTTGTAAAATGAAATAATATCCACTTCATAGTTTACAGTGGTTATATAAGTACATTTAATGAACCTTGTGAATATTGTAAATTTAAACAGTATACGTGTTGGCTCATTTTACATAGTACCAGCCCAGAGCTGGTGAGCCTGAGTTGTATAAGAAAGCAGGATGAGCAAGCTAATAGAAGCAAGCTAGTAACCAGTCTTCCTCCATGTCTTCTGCTGGGCTTAATTTGGTTCGGGATGAGCCTGGAGGTTCTTGGCAGGCTAGGAGGGTCCTAACAAGCCTAGAGATGGCTAGAAAATTCAGGGACATTGGATGTTTGACCTGGGTTAGATCTGAGGCTTGGAGGAAGATCAGGCACATTTACAGGCCTAGACCCTGGGAAAGCATGTCTGTAATTCTTGGTGTAACTCAGTGAGTGAAGTTTTCTTTGCCTCTTAGCCAAAGGAAGTGTAAAATGTCCCTGAAAGACAAATTCAGTCACAAGCATCTCCAGAAAGTTAGTAGTAATAATTAGGAGTTAAATTTGTTTGCTTGCCATGAACTAAGATTTTTAAATTTTAGAAAAATCTGTTCATGCCACTTATCCGTGTCCTGTGCCACCACAGTTCTGTGATTTTGGGAAACACTGCTTTAGACCGTCATTCTCTCAGATGTTTCTTTAGCAATACAGTATCTTTAGTGGCCTCTTGTAAAGGGTTCTGGTATGCCCTTATTAAAGCAGCAGTAAAAGTGGCCCTCAGAGCTTCTAATACTGGAAGATAGTGCTGTGGCTGCCAGCTTGTGCTCTTTGCTAACATGTGTTTTGTATATGTGAGTCAGCATGAGAGAGAACTTCTTAGAAAGTTCCAATGAATTATTCAGAGATTGATCTTGTGTGATAGTTCTGCAACAGCAAACTGTCTTTAACTTGAACATCTAGCTTCAGCGATTTCTTAGTAGCTTAAGAGCAGATTAGTCATTACTTGAATTGATAGAAACACAGGCAAATGGCAGATGATGTGCAGGTGTGGGTGAATTCTGAAGTCCCGGAAGTGGCTGCTGTGTGGGCATGGCCTGCCATCCAGAGCTGCAGTGGCAGCTGGTCTTGAGCCTTTGATGGAGCTCAAGGAGGGCCTGGTGTGCTATTCTTCTTTCTCATCTGTTTGGCTAAATTTCCCAGGTGGACCCACGGCTCAGCACGTGGTCTGCCTCACTACCTGGGGGCTGTGTAATTTTCACCAAGTTGCCATTAGTGTCTACTGAAAGTGGTGTGATAGTTGGTCATCACCAGCACTCAGTATAGCCCTCTCCAACACCCCGATCTAAGCTCTTCTCTAGATGTATCCCACGTTACCTAAATCATTTAGGCGACTGACTTCCTGCCAAATGTGACTTTTCGTTTTTAGTTCAATTCAGTATTCACTAAGTAATGGAGAGGCAGAGAGGAGGAAGGGATGCCATGTGCTGTTTCTGAAGGTCTGTGAGGGTACTCACTTTTTTTAGTAGTGCTGTTAGTTACTTCATGGTAGCCAGCTCATTAGCGACGGCTCTAAGGTTGTTCTGTATTGTGTTTTGTTTTGAGATAAGGTCTCATTAGATTGCCTGTGTTAATCTAGAATCTGTGATCCTCTTGCCTCTGTGCTGTCTAATCTTTTGATATTAAACTTCAAAGAAATTTAACCTTATAAGAGGTTGTATTTGTGTGTTTTGTAATAACCTTTAAGAACATCTTTAATATTTTTATTAATGAGAAAAGTGATGAATACTGAAGAGTCACATTATTTACTCATAGTTAGAGCCAGACATGCTGTAGGTGGTACAATTGTTACCTGAACCCAGGCATGCTTACGGAAGTTAAGCAGCTAACAGTTTTCATTTCCATCCTATATATGTGATATTATTCTGTTGGCTAGAAAATTACTGTCTGCTTTTCTAAGATATCTGCTGAAGTGCTTGTTGAATTTTGTCCTCCAAGAACAGCAGACACCATTTTCGTCAGAACAACAGTGAATACTTGTAGGGGTCTTCTTTGACTGGCCTCATTGACTTGGCACACTCCATAGGAGGAGGTTGTAGGGAGAGTCATGGGACCCTGCCTGGGATTAACTCTGATCCTTCCTGCACCTTACAGGCATTTATGTGCATTTCTGCCCCCACTGTAAGTGGCCTCATTGTATCAGGAGGTGCTGGCTCATGTGCACTGTGTCATGCTAACAGAAGTGGGGCTCCATCTGTGTGACTATGGGGAAGTCATCTGTTCTGGGAATGAGACTTGCCCACGTCTAGCTGACTTGTGGCTACCTAAGCTTCTGGAAGTAACTGTTCCCTTATGTTCAGACTCTTTCCTTGGTTTGCCACTGGAGCTGTATAAGAAAGAAGTGCATATTTGTTTTAAGTCCGCGCAGCAACGAGTTCCCTCAACAGTGAAGACGTATGCATTGGATTGCAGATCATTCCATAGAGTCTCTTATTTTCTGATTATCTAAGAGAGAAAAGAGTGGCCTGAGGGGAGTTTTGTGGAATTTAGCAGCTTAGTTCATTGTTGTACAAACCATGAGGATGTCAAAGCCCAGCAAGTTTGACACATATCTCTTTATGATGAATTGCCTCAGTTTACTTCTATCTGAACTTTTTTTCTTATAGCATGTTTCGTCAAGGAATGCATGACTTGAAAGTCTGGCCTAACGTGGAGGCAGATGGCTCTGAGCCCACGAGAACTCCTGGCAGAACAAGCAGCACGCTTTCAGAAGATCAGATGAGCCGCCTCGCCAAGGTATGCAGGCGCCTAAGAGAAGGAGAGCTCTGAGCAGGGCAGATCCCAGGGTCCTTGACGTTGTGGCTATTAGTTGGCTTGTCGATTTAAATCGAACTTTAGTCATAGTTTGAGATATGATTCATGTTCCTTCACTCTAGATAGGTGTTATGTTCCAGAGCCTTGTGAAGTCATCCCTGTTGTATGACGTTAGGACATCTTCACCTCTAAAAGCTCCATGTACTCAATCACTCCTCATTCCATTCTCCTTGCACTTCCTGATGGTTGATGGCCCACTTTGTCTCTCTGGACTTCTGCATGCAGAGAATTACACACTATATGGCCTTTTGTCTAGACTTCATCAGATTTCGAAATGTGGGTATCTGGTATTTTCATTATCATAGCTCTTTTCTATGTTGCTCTTTTAAGTGAAAGGGTGACATAGGTCTTTAATAAGTATATTGACTGGTATACTCTTTTCAGCTTCCTTTCTCTCTCTTCAAATGAATAAAACTTAAGATGCATTTCATCTGCTCGTTTCCAGGTCTTGCTTGTGTTCTTACTGGATATATAGGACAGTTCATGGCTACTCTTAATGTGTGTACTCTCTTTATGAGTTTATCAGCAGTGAAGTTTGGTTTGGCTACTTTCCATGACTTAAAGAGTTCATAGACATTTTATTAGAATCATCTCATATATAGTCTGTGGGATACTAAGGTTTAGTTTGAGGGTCAGAAGAACACAGTTTCTATCTGGCTGCCTATGGCTAATGGGACTGTGAAGTGACCAACCACTTAAATAGCCCATGAAGAGATGGTGTTGGGGAATTATTAAACAATTTTTAGACAGTCAGTGTCAACTCCAAGCTGGAGTTAACGCTTTCACTCTGATTTATTGCTTGCTATGGAAGATAAATTCTGACTATAATATAAATAACTAACATCTGAAAGCTTTCTAAGTTTAACTTTTTAAAAACAGTTCTTTCAGAGTGATTTTAATGGAATAAATCTCTTTAATGATTTAGACTGTTTTATAAACCTGCTTTTTTTTTTTTTTGAGGAAAAATGGCTATGAGAAAAGGAAATAATACTGCAAAGATAGTGCTCAGCTTAGGTCTATTTTTTGTTTAATAATGTGAATTTTCTAGCATTTTAATAAGGAACAGAAGAAATGTATGTATTAAAATATGCCACCCCATACATCTTGCTCATTGTCCTTTTTTTCCATCTATAAACTTTTTAAACATGCTTACTTCTGTTCCAGCTGATGAACACAGTAAGAGACCCGACTTCAGGGCTGTTAACTTTCAGTCTGGACCAGCCTCTTGGAATGATGGGCCAGTGTGTACACTGTTCCCTTCAGTGAGCTAGTGCTTACTTAAGTCTCACGCTACAGCTAAGCCTGGCCGAAATCCTCTTGCTTCCACCTCCAATAACTAGGGCAGAGGTCATCTGCCACACCACACCATCCTGAGACCTCGCTTTTTGCTGAAGAGGTTGTGTGCATCTCCAGAAGAGAGGATGTGGTGAAGCTGCCATGACAGCAGCGCAGGAACGTTTAATGCATTTGGCAGCCAATGGGCAAGACTGTTTTTCTCAAGCTTCCTAATGAATGGTTTTTATTATTTTACTTATTTTTTTGCTTATTTATATATTTATATGAATTACTATGTTATTTCCTTCTTCTCCTTCTAAGTTAGAAAAGGTCCTGGGCAGAGTTCCCAAATTTGCAAATATTTATTTTCCATCCTGTTTTATCATCCTTGTATGTAGTGCCTCTCACTCCATATAAGTAAATGATAAGTAGTGAGCTCTGCTGGATTCATGGCTTGCACACTTAAGGTGTTTGCACTCCAGAAGGCCTGGCAAAACAGGAAACACATCTGTTTCCAAGAACTTCTGTCAGGCCCTTCCTGTGCTGCTCCTGTGTGGATGCAGTGTGGCAAGCTGGCTGCTTTGAGCCCTGACCTTTACTTAACACCCACTGACCTATGATAATTGCCCGTCAGCATGCCATTCCACGATAACCGCTAAGATGTCCTTAGAAATCCAACATGTTGTTACTGTTGGTCCTAGCTGCTTCTTTTATTTAAATATTCTTGGTTGTCCCTTTCTGCTTAATTCCTAGAGAAGGTAGGGCTTAATAACTATTCCATTAATTTGGGGGACACCCATCTCCTTCCAATGGCTTCTTGGGAATGTTTTAGAAACCCCCCATTCCTGACAAACAGTGACACTTTTGCTGACTGTCTTCCTAGAATGGATACTCAGGAAGGATGATTTCTCCACAAGCATTTTAAATAAATTAGACTCCATGCTTATTTATTTTATCTTGGAAAGATGTAAGTCACTGGCCTTTCAAACTAAGAATGAAATGACAATTTATCCCACTAATATAAGTTTCTTACAGTCATCTGTGTTGAGAGAAGCCATTTTAGATCCCCTGCCTCAGTAGAAATTGGAGGTAACGAGAAGCTGCTGTAGAGTGGAGGACTACTCGTTTGGATATGTTGTTATGAGCACCAACAAGAGATGAAGTGACATAGGGGCCCTGAGGAGCTGCTTTTAATGCTCATAATGATTATAGCCATGTTAAGTTCAATACATTTTAATACAAATTGACATTTAATTATTAATAATTGTTATTTTGTGTGCCTTGAGCCCCACCTAAAAATAAAAGCCATTATGGTTTGAAGTTCTAAAAGGGATTTTGGCAACTGGAAGCCATTCTGGATTATCAGAGCCAGCTACCTGTCTCTCAAGAGGGTGACTTCTTCAGACCACGAGAAATAGTGGAATGAGTGCTGTAACCACTGATTGGACATGCTTTTTTCTGATAGGTAAATAGGGTAAATGCCTAGAAGACATTTTCAGTGGTAACTAATCAGTTCTGCGGAACTGGAGTAACTAAATAAGTTGAGAAATATCTAGAATTTCTTTAAATATCAAGATGTAATCTAGGCAGCAATTGAATAGTCATCATAATATATGTAAATAACTCTTGATTTTCCATTCACATTTGAATTCATCATTACTTTTCTCTGTTGAAGCACATGGACACATTGCTCACTGTTTCTGATTGCAGTATTTTAGAGTGTATGCATTCCATCACTTACGGAACAACTCCCACCATTGAGGTCTGAAAGATAATTTACACTTGACCGTTGGGGTGGCTTTATCAGATTTAGTATTGCTTCTGAGATAGCTGCTCAAAAGAGTCAGAAAGATCCTATTTGGTATGCAACTAAGAAAAAGCCACGGCCTAGCATGTGGAGGGAATGACATGAATTAGCAACCTAAATGCATCTGGTGTAGTTGGTGCAGAAGGTTCCCGATGTATCTGGATGTGCATAATGAAGAAGGAAATCTCACTTCAGTTTCCACATCAGGACACAACTCAACAATGCCAACTCTTTCCTCACAGCAAATTGTTGTGGGGACCAACTGTTAGGTGATGAACACAGAACTCAGGTTTAGTAAATAACAGAAATTAGCAGGGCTGAAATTACATAATAGTGTAGCAACAGAGTGAATACCAAAGACAGGTAGGTGAACATGGCTGAGAGTCTCACATCATCCAAAATGGCTTTACATTAGAAAATACAAAAAGTTACATTACATTTTTCTTTGTTGTTTGTATGAGCAAGGTAATAGGAGAAATCAGCAAGAGTGTATATATTCTGTAAAGGAAAGGAACAAACGACACATTTATCAGCATGCAGTAACTACATGAAATGATACTGCCTGTCTACTTTTGCACCTACCTGCATATTAGGCCACAAATGGAAAATAGAAAATAATATCTTTAATGACATGGTCTCAAAATGTGACAGAGTTTGAAATGAATTTTTCCATGTTAGAATCAGATCTCCAGCTTGCAGTGTGACACTCTCCCGTCATTCACACTGCTTCGTCTTTGGTCTTTGAGAATGTTTCCTGTTCTCCTTGATGTAACTCACACATCCATCTGGTGTTCTACCAGCACTAAAAAATATGTAGCCCTTGCTGTATGTGAGTACTTACACGAAGCTCTCACTGGTGTCCCCTTCTTATTAATTGGTAACGTTAACGTAAAAACATCATGTGTTTCACGATAGCATTTCTGTACATTGCACTGCACTCCATTCTTACTCTGTCCTCCTTCACCTCCTCCTCTGACTTGTTAATCCCCTTTGTCCCTAGTGGTTCTGTTTGCTTCCTGTCATATGTGTTGCATTATTCTCCATTTGCCTCTCTGTATTTAAGATCTCTTCCTAGTATCAGTCCGCTTTCAACTTTCACCTTTTACACACAAACACGTATGCACGCGAGCACATGCACACACATACAAATGCACATGTAGATTTAGCATATGAAAAAATACACACTATTTATCTGTTATATTTCATAAATATTTTCATCCACTTCCATCATTTACTTGCTCATGTGATTTCCTTCTTTACAGCTGAATAATATTCCTGTATGTGTATGTGCATATCACATTTTCTTTGTCCCTTCATCCTTGATGGATGCTTACGCTGGACCCATTTCTTAGCTGTTGTGAATAGCACAGCTAAAACATAAGTAGCGCTTACTAATATCTCTAAATCTATTTTCATTTAGAGATTACCATGGGGGAAAATGGTGCTCTTTGCTATGCAAAAGAAGGTTGATTACTTCTTAAGTAGTACTTTTCTGTTACAGTGGTCCTCAAACTTCTTTTTAAAGGGTTTTACTGTATATGGGTGAGTGTTTTGCCTGCGCATATGTAAACACACCGCATGTAGGCCTGGTGCTCACAGAGACCAGAGGAGTACATTGGGTCCCTTGGAACTGGAGTTACAGATGATTTTTAGTCACTGTGTGGGTGCTGGGAACTGAACCCTGGTCCTCTGGAATGGCTGCAAATGATCTTAACCACTGAGCTATCTCTCTAACCCCTGAACCTCAGACATTTTATATAAGATTGCCACTTTTTATTTCTTGAATCCTGTGAACTCATAGTTGTGTTGTTGTCGGGGAAGATAAATAATAGTGGTGGTTAAGGTATTCAGTTCTGAGTGAGGTAATAATTAATGCCACTAATTCTGTCCTTTTGGGAATACTGCTATGGCCTGGAGAGTGAAGAGGAAATTGACGAGCTAAGAGAAGTGGTGATAAAAGGTTTTGATACTCAGCTTTGCTTTATTTTATGAATTTTTTGAGAAAGAGAGTTTTGCTAAGGAAGTAAGACTGATGTTTAAAATACACACTGTCAGTAACACAGCATTTTCTAATCTGAGGACTCTGCAGCTTATGGTGATTTCTTTATGAATTAGCAAAACCAATATGATGAAATTTATGAAACTAGGGCAAGATTAGTATGTAAGACCAGTGGACTCAAACATCAACCATGTTAGAAATTTAAATCCTGTGTGGTTTCCTAACATAGGCACACATGCACGTGTGTGTATGTAAACTGTTTTATGTGTGTGCGTGCGTGTGCGTGTGTGTGCGTGTGCGTGCGTGTGCGTGTGTGTGCGTGTGTGTGTGTGTGTGTACTTATACTTAACCACTACTTAGAGTGATGATTTATTGGTTTCTAAGAATTGCCCTTACTTGTATAACTCATTTTTTCAAAATGTTTGTTACATTAAAAATGGAAAAAAATAGAGAAAAGGTGGTTTATTTTCCCTTAGAGGAATATTCTTATTGTAACTCCATTTATGAAAGTAAAAACGTAAGAACTATAGGACATGCAGATAACCTTCAGAGTGGACTTGGTTTTGCTCTTGCATACTGACCATGGCAAGTCTACAGGCTTGATTTTTAAAGACTTTTTTAAAAAATGATTTTCATATTTAGTCTAGTTTCTTATTTTGATATGGTATGTGGTTTTGATCTGTATTGATGCTTTGTATGTTGGATTCTGAAGTGTAGGAGTGCTTCATATGTGGAATCTCCTGTTCTAATGTGTAGATTTTTATGTTGACTCATGTAGGAGTGCTCCATATGTGTAATCTGATGTGTAGTAACAGTTTGTATGTGGAATTGGATATGTAGAGGGGCTTCTCATGTGGGATTGATATTACAGGCCCAGCGTCCTTCAGCGTAGATCTTTAAAACCCCAAGTGTTTTGAATTTTGGATCATTTCAGAATTTGAAGTATTTCCATATACTTGGTGAGATATCTTGAGAGCGGGCCCCAAATATAAGCACAAAGTTGCCTTGTTTCTAATGTATATCATAGTGTCTTAAGCAGTGTAAGAATTGTTTTTTATGTATTGTTGACAGTGAGCAATCCTGAGGCTGATGGGGAATGTTCCCACTGCGGCCTAAAACACTTTGGGTTTTATAGTGTTATAGATTCTTGACTTTTCAAGTGAGGGTTGAGTGATCAATTACCATCCTTCATCTTCCTCCTTGTTGGATCTGTGCAGGGATTAACCCAGTTGTTATTTTCTGCAGCTTACCAAGGCTCATCGGCAAGGCCACATGGTGAAAGTGGACTGGTTGGACAGATTAACATTTAGAGAAATAGAAATGATAAATGAGGTGAGTTGTTTCCTTTCTTATATCAGAATACTCTCTTAGATTACTAAATTAACATTGTTGAAACAAATTCCTTATTGCCAGTTAGCTCTCAAATACGGGCTTACTTCAAAAACTGAATTTTATATTAATAAGCAACTAATCTGACCTTTTAAATGTGACCTGAACCATTAGCAGGGGTTGCCTATCATATGTGAGGGCTCAGTGCCTCACGTGTGTTCTCAGTCATGTTGTTCAAGTTCCTGTCATTGATTGCTGAGTGCTCTGTCAGTACTGTCCCCTCTCTGAGGTCACCACAGGGCACCTTTAGAAATGCACACTCCTGCCCACACCTTTGTTTCAGCTCTCTAATTTACTACCTACCAGATGTGGTAACCTCAGTAAAGTCTTCATTATCCAGACTTTACTTTTTCTTGCCCTTGTGTGTTGGGCGATTGTAAGTAGCTAATTAAAAGATGACTTCAACGAATCTTTTACAAGGTTATACTTATTAAAGCTGCTAGTGTCCTGTATCTTTGTTTTAAGAACCTGTGTTTGATATAAGAATGTGTGTCTAGAGAATGGAAACGTTATGAGTCAGATTCTCTGAGGAGAACATCACTGTCTAGCTGCTAATGGCCACTGTGGTGTGCACATCACACGCCTTCTTTCTTATGACGGCCCCAAGGAGAGGGCAAGAGGAAGAAAGATGATGGAGACCATGTGGGATGGACCATTGTTCTTGTCTTTCGTGAATGTGGTAGTGCTTACATTCATATTGATTGTAAACTTGAGCTCTTTTCTTAGTATATTCATACAGTCGTAACACAAACTATTAGAAGGTAACTTTTGTACTTTTAATAATGGATCCATTAGAAAAATAGTTCATTTAAAACACATATTTTTCTTCCAGGTCAGTGCTTTGTATGTAGAGATGTAACATTGGGCATATCTTGCCACCTTTGCTCTGTTGTCCTTCACTGAACAATTTCAGTGACCTTAGTGTCCCTCCTGCTTATATGTGTATGCACCATGCACATGCAGTGCCAGCAGAGGCCAGAAAAGGACATGTTGATAATGACAAGTTATCTTAGGATCGTTCAGAAATTGTGAACATTTTATAAAAATTACTTAACCCGTATCTTTGGTTGCAAACTTAAAAAAATAACAAAAGCAAGATTACCTTCTGTACACTTAATTCTTGAGGTGGGTAAATTATGTAGTTTAAGGTGAAACTCCTGAAAGTAGTTGTTACAAGTACAAATTGTCATTTGTATTTTTGAAATAAAATAGTTCTCAAAACACTTTCAAGTTTTAGAGTCATAAAATCCAAGGTGCTGAGTAAACCAAGAGTTTTATTGAGTTTGGAGATGGTGTGCCAAATACCATACCCTTGTAGATAAAACATTGATTCTGTCTGGGCTTTTACATGTGGATAGCAAGAAAAGTTATATTTTAGGTAGTGGTTGATTGATTCATATCTTGCCGAATTGTGATGAAACCCTTATTTAAGAAAGGTTGAAGGTAGTCATGTATGTCTATCTTTTCACTTGTAGAGTGAGAAACGGAGCTCTAATTTTATGTACTTGATGGTTGAGTTTCGCTGTGTCAAGTGTGACGATAAGGAATATGGCATTGTCTACTATGAAAAGGTATTTTCCTTGAACTCTTTATGCTTCATAACATCCAGGGTTGTGCTACAAATGACTGCTCTTCTTGCAGAGGCACAGTGTTTGGTTGCAGGAGAGCAACCCACAGTTTTCAGCAGCAGCGTACACAACCATAGCTGCAGCCCATTGGCTCATGCAGTTCCAGGTCACAAAATTCAACAAGTGTGCAAAGATTAAACCTTTTTCATTAATTGTTTTGCAAATTGGTGAGCATGACGCTAAAGTAATAGCATTATTTACAGTTATCTATTTGCACAATAATGTAGGAAATCGATATTTCGTTGAGAAGACATTGAAAGTTCAGGCATCAGTTATTTAACTTGTATGTTGTTGAAACTATATGTCTCTGTTTATGAAAGCTTTTATTGATATACATTTATATAGTTTATTCAAAGTTAAGAGACTCTTTTGACTAGACTAAAATAACAGTATTGTTCATGTTGAATCATTATGGGAAGAAATAGCCTAGTGTTCAGTATGTAGCCATTTCAAATTATTTGCCTTATATTCATGTTGAGGGGGTTTCCTTTAAATGCTGCATAAATATTTATATAGGTAAATGCATACACATATGTATTTATATATGGAAATGTGTACTTATATACTTATATGTATAATTTGAAACTCAAGTAGTGTTTAAATCCCTTCAAGTGAGAACAGAGTTCTTGTGTGTGACAAGAGAGATGAGCACTTTTAGCACACAATAAAGTTTATATTTGGGTCACTTGCTCATTAGAAATAGCTGTTTACATTACCTTTGCATAGTAGTGTCATTTATAGCTACTGCCCAGTTACTTCGTGCTCATGCACTTTTGAGGATGGTTACTTGAAAGATTTTCATAAGAAAGGATTTAGGCCAGGTGCAGTAGTGCACGCCTGTAATCCCAGCACTCAGGGAGGCAGAGGCAGGTGGATCTCTGAGTCTGAGGCCAGCCTGGTCTACAGAGTGACTCTAGGACAACCAAGGCAACACAGAGAAACCCTGTATCGAAAAAAAAA